ACAATCTTTGCTGTTATCTGATAAATTATTTCTGATTTTATTTTTTCCAGATCCTCTTTTGTTGCCAGTTCAGATAGTCCAGGTGGTTGAGTATCAGATTGTTCCATCTCGTTTCCCTTTGTGGTTGCTGTAGGTGATCTGGAAGTCTGTTTTTGAGGCTTGTTTTTGTGTTTTCTCATTTCCATGGGAGGGGGTGCTTCTGGGGCCCACACAGATCACCTTCTCTGCCCTAGGAACTTGGGATGGCAGTGGGGGAGCTTCCTTCTGGGTGCTGGGACCGGCTGAGCTTCTCTGCCCTAGGAGCCTGGGATGGAGGTGGGGAGCTTCCCAAAAATATTTTTAAAAGGGCAGGAGATTTGGCTCAGTGGTCCGTCTGCCTGCCTCTCAAGTGCAAGGTCCTGAGTTCAATACCTGTACAAATATATATAATCTATCTCATAAACATATCTTATAAATATATCTTATACATATATCTATTTCTTATAAATAAGAGATAGAAATTCAACAATAAAAAATAATACAGACAAGAATGCAGTACAACAACTAGTTGCACTCCATTTTTATTGCATTAGGTATGATAAGTAATCTGGAGATAATTTATAATATACAAGGGGAAGTATATAAGTTATATGCAAACACTATGACATTTTATATAAGGAAATTGAGCATCTGTGGATTTTGATCTCCACAGAGAATCATGGAACCAATCCCCTGCAAGTACCACGAGATAACTGTATACTTGTGTGAGCATGTGCATGTCCCAGATAATTCTATCCTTATCCTCTGTAATTAATTTATGCTTTATACCAGCACAACTGTACCAATAATGCTGCAGTTCTATTTTTTCTTTCCAGTCTGCCCCATGTAACTCACCCCACAGATAAATATTTCTAAAATTCAACTTTCATTGGTTAATCACCTAATGAAGAACCTGCAAAGGACTCTCATTTCCTGCCACATTTCAGTCACATAATACCTGACTTAAGGTCTCTACATTAATCATGTAGCTACAATGTGTTCCTCTATTCTAAATAATCAATACTCTTTCTAAAAACATAGCTCTTTCCTGCTCTTCTCCTTTTATTAGTTACATTTATTTCCAGTTCTGTGATTTTGTTCTTACTCCCATCTTCAATCCAGATGCATTTTTTTGCTTTTTGAATTCTTGAAATATAACTATTATTGACTCAGCTTTTCCATGAAAGCTTTCCAAATATTCTGGAAGTGGAAAAGAGTAGCCCTCTTTCAAGTGTAACATGTAATTGGTCATTTCATTATTGGATAAAATTAAATATTACTTTTGTCTCTCCAGATTTATGGTAATCTTTTAGTGGAAACATGACTAACTTATAAATTATGTAGTTTTGATGTCTACTACTGGCTAACACATTAGGAGAATCTCCATATGTTTTAGCCAATATATGACTTATTTGAGAAATGTTACAATTTAAACATGAAGTGTTCCCCAGGGACTCGTGTATTGAGAACTTCATCTCCAAGCCCGCACTCTTCAGAGGTGGGGACTACAAAAGTGATTGGATCATGAGGGCACTGTCCTCATCAATGGAACATACATTGAAGAGTTCATAGCTGAATGAACCAGCAGGAAGAGGGACCCTACTGCAGGAAATAAATCATTTAGGATATGACTTTGAAGGGTGGATATCATCCCTGGTCCCTTCCTCTCTCATTCTTTCCATCTATCTCTGCTTACTGGCTGCCATGAAGTAAGGAGCTTTTGTCTGCCATGCCATTCCACCATGATACGCTGCCTCACTTTGGCCCTAAAAGCAATGGAGCCAGCTAAGCAAACTTGTCACTGAAATTCTCTATGTCTCATTTTTCTCTTACAGCCAGTAGGAATAGAATCTAGCTTGTGGTTTATGGAAGACATAAATAAAATAACATATGTGAAACCATTAGCACTATTCCTGGTATATAGTTAGTGCTTAATAGTATTTTTTTTAATCGAGGAGAGAATTCATCTAACAAATAAGATAATAAATCTTAAGAAATATTCAATCACAGCTTTAAATTCCATATCTTTATTAATTTACTAAACTTTTTTAACCTCTGTTGCTGATTATTCTCATTTCCAATATTTTGGATTGTATTTTCTGCAAATCATTAGGCAAATTGAATAAGTAACAAAGATGTGACCAATATATCAAAAAGCATGATGTGTATGCATTGTGATCACTGAATAAAGTTTAATAGGATAGTGAGATAGATATAACATTCTATCCCTGGAGGGAACACTCAGGAAGCTTCTCTGTTTTTCCTTTCATTATCAGATATAAAGAGATCCAAATATTAATTTAAATTGAAAACACATGCTCAATTCAGTCATCAGACTCTTCAGTCTGATATAACAGTAAAAAACCCAAACCTGATTGAAAGTGCTACTTAACCCCTCCAGCATCTGGCACTTGTTTCAGACTGGGATTTATGAGAGCATGGCTCTGCTCTGTTTCCTTACATGCTTACCGCTCTCCCAGTCTTCAGTTGCAGTTCAGGATAAAAGTTGGGCAAAGTGAAGAGAGGCAACTTCTGGGTGGCTTTAAGCTTTCTGGTTCTAGAGGAATGTTAAAGCTGGCAGCTTTTTTTTTTTTTTTTGGTACTGGAGATCGAACTCAGGTCTTTGCACTCATGCAACAGGCGGTGAAACCACTGAGCTAAATCCCCAGCCCCAAAGCTGACAGCTCTTGATGGATGAGTCATACAGATGAGAACAGATGACCTCATAGTTGTTGCTATAGACTGTGGTATACCTCCAAAATTCTGTGTTGAAACCTAATCCCCAAGGTGATAGTATTTAGAGGTGATGCCTTGAGAAGTCATTAGATTTAGATGAGATGATAAAGGCAGAGCTCCCATAAGTGGATTAGGGGTGGTATAAAAAATAAGGAGCTCAGAGTGCCTCCAACTCCGCTGCCATGTGAGCATACAGTGTGAAGATGACCATATGCATGCCAGGGAGCTGGCCCTCCCTAATCATCCAAAGAATCTGATCAACCAGGCACCTAGCTTTTAGATCAAGGGTTGGAAACCCTCCAAAACTATGAGAAATAAGTGTCTATTGTATAAGTCATCCAGTCTGTGGTAGTTTGTTACGGATGCCTGAACTGATTAAATGGTTGATTTAGGGATCTTTGAATGTCCTCTTTGGCTAATCTCTCTCATAGTTCTCTTATTCCTAGTAGATCCATTTCTACTACTGGATCATGAGAGTATGGGCTCAGCTCCTACTCACAAGATAAACATGCTAAAACTGGGATCACTTTGTGTCCCCCAGAAGTCCAAGATAGACCTCCAAATATCAAAGGTAACCCTATCCCAAGGTTCCCTTACAGGTGGCCATAGCCAACTCTCACCCATAAGGGTTTGTTCCACCAAATTAGTTCACCTTCCTTTTATTCCCTTATGTTGACCCTATTCTTAGCTTCTATATTTTCCAACTATGAGTTGTATCTAAGCACACTGTAACTTTCTCAAATATTAGTCATTGGTGTCCCCCTTAAATCCTTACCTTCCATATAAAAGGGAGGGGAATTTGTGATATATCTTCATAAATCTTTTTTCTCTAATTCATTTTTAGCTCTTTGATGTAGCTGAGGGACCCAAGACATTGAACAGGATCTCACAGTCATGTCCAGCGTAACTCTCTGTATAGGTGCTGGGGGTGAGGTGCTGCCTCATGCTCACTTTGGCATCCGGATATCCACCCAAATATCTATTGTCTTGTTCCTCAGTCAAAACTGAGGAGGAAGGTCCCATTCCAGAATCTTGTTACTACTTACAAAGCATAGAAGTAAGTCTTGGGATAAATGATTTGACGAGTTAAGTACAAAATGAACATTCAGGTCTTATTGCTTATAAATTATTAAGAACTTCAAGATGAGGTTAAGAGGTCATTAAACTACAGAGTCCTCTGTGATGGCACAGGTCACTGACAATAGAGTCAGTGATAGAACACAGATGGTGGCATCAGTCATTGTTGCTATTCTTTTGGTTCATCTCCCAATACAACTTGCTTCCAATGTGCCTACATGGCTTTGTAACAGTAAGAGTCTTACTAATAATCCCTTAGCAAAAGCCCCACCATGGCACATTTGTATATGATTCAGAGCTTATTTCATGCTGAAACAAAAACCAATTAGTTTAGAAAAGAGCAGATTTTCCCAAAAAGTAACTGGTCTCTTCCCCAATAAATACATACACTGTCCTTAATATTCTTTATAATTTATTGTTCTCAATTCCATTCAGTTGAAGAAAGTGAAAATATGTCAAAAATAAAGACATGTAAAAAACTATTACCTGTACCATTTCTTTCTCTATTTTAGCTTTGAATAAATAACAATCGAGTGATAGGACAAAAACATAAAGTTCTACAGGCAGGACTATGGAAGATGAAAGCACAACATGTTATCCATCGATGTCTAATGGGTGTCATTATTTCCATTAAGGCATTTTGTGTGGAGAGAAAATGAGATATTTCTTTGCCTTTTTGATGCAGGGGCACAGAAGCTCACATCCCTGAGGTAAGGTGCAGCAGCAGCTCACAGAGTCGGCACGGAGAGGCAGACACTGCGGATATCATCCATCTCCCTGACACACGCAGAGCCTCATTGTGCGGCTGCCAGACGCAGTCGGCTAAGAGGAGAATGTGGCAGAATACAGAAGAGGAAGCAATGCCTGTTGGGCTCATTATTGCTCTCATCTATGAATAGCTCCATAAACATTATTCTGAGATGAAGAGATGGAGATTTGGTCCATGGCCATCGCAACCAAGACAGCAGTCAAGAAGGTAAGGGAAGGAGGCACAGGGAGCTCGGAGGCTCTCTGTGTGAGTCTGAAGAAAGGACCACGTCTTTTTCAGAGCAACACTATTGGTGCAGACGCTGAGTCATCATTTCAGCTGCCTTCAAGCTTGATGATGTTCCAACTTCTCCCATCCTTCAGTTTCTAAACCAAAATGACAAAGAGTGCCCTATAGGGATGAAGTCATTGGGAAAAGCAATTAAAATGCTCTGTGTGTGTGTGTGTGTGTGTGTGTGTGTGTGTGTGTGTGTGTGTGTAGAGGTGAACTCAGCACAGGACAAGAGACATTGAGTTACAGCTTCATCCTTGAAGCCTCCTCTGAAAAGAAAACAAAAATAAAATATGACAAGGAGTCTGAAACAGGCAGATTCTATAAGGATAAATTGTTTTGCATAGATAAACATAGCAAGACAAGGGGTTATACAGCCATTTTACATTCTGAGACAAAGAAAACTTTAAGCTAGTCTCAAACGAGTTTTTGGAGCTAGGTCAAACCCATACCTTAACACACTTCTCTGCCATAGATGAAAATTGTATGATTTACTGTTATGCTTTGGGATGTGTGATTTGCTCTGTGACCTTGAAATCTGCATGATACTGATTCTTCTTAAAAGGATCTCATTCTATACAAGGATCTACACCTCCCCCATCCACTCTTGGCCTTTTATTTTAAACAGAACTTCTTTTAAAGAAGAAGACAATTAGTGTAAAATCTATCAGAAGGCGTCTCAACCTGTCCTCCAGTCTCCAGCCAGGAACTCTCTGGAAGGAGGCCATGTAACTCTCATTATTTGTTAGGCCATGGACTATTTTTCCAGGCTGTTGTATAAGGCAAATCCATTGCCTCATTTCTCATAGCTCTCTACAAAAGAAAAAAGCAGACGGATCTTCCCAAACTCAGACAGAATATTGTGAACAGCCAAGTGGGCTGAAGAAACCTGCTGCCAAATTGGCTAACACAGCTCCGTGTATCGTGCTCTTTCCAGAGATTCAGCTACAACAAAGAGGCTGACCCCCAATAAATGCAAGAGAAGGTTCATATGCTATTATTTAGGTAGAACTGAGACTCTAAAAAGCAAACAAGAAATGTCTCCATGAAGCCTGTTCTCCTCAGAAGTATTGCAGAGAGGGCTAGTGATCAACATTAAACAAAAAATCTGAACCAGAAAAACTTCATGTCAGATAGATAAACACTAAAATAATCCAAATCATCGCCACATACAATATGAGTTATTAATATACAGAGAAGGTTCATAGGTCATGTTCTGCTGCTAAAGAATAACCAACATTCCTCACCAGCACAATATAATCATTATCCTAATAAATAATTAATAATAGCTTCCTGTTATTGAGTGTCTGTTATGTTTCTGGACTTTTCACAGCTTGTCTAATTATCACTACAACATTGACATTATTCCCTTGATATATGAGAACACTGAAGTCCAGAGAAGTTCAGACACTTGCTTCAGCAAGCAATGGTCGATCAAGTCAGTGGTTCATCTCAGGATGGGCTGATTTAAATGCTTCCTACAGCTCCTCTGCTCCATGAGTAATTTAGCACCTCTGAAATGAACAATTATAGATTTTTCATCCTCATTGTTTTCATCAACACATACTACAGGTATGCAGTAAGGAACCTCCATGACATAATACTCATATTATTTTTAGCCCTAGGGAGAAGTAAAAAAATCTTCCACATTACCAACACTGTAGGACAAATTGGAAAAGAACGACCACACTTCAGGTATTTCTCCTGTCCTATTGGTATCCTTGTCCTTTCTAGCAGTTGAACCCCTCCATTATCTCATCTCTGCCCAGCCCAGCTTGCTTGATCACAATATTCCTTATGTCCGTGCAACATGATGTGAAGGCTGACTCCCATCTGCCCTCTTTCCTCATAGACCAATAACAAGGCATTCAGGCTTTAGGGACCATATTCCTGGTGGTTGTAGGGCCACTGGTGGTGGTCAGGAGATTGGAAACTCTACAGCCTCAAAACACTCCATCAAGCCATTCATCCAGTGGCATGTCACATAATGCTATACAATTAAAGACCATGAAGGTTAAACATTCTAACCAGACCCATATGTCTAACAATGGTCTTTTACAAACCTCCATTCTGAGGAACCATCTGGACATTCCAGGTGATCTCCATGCCTACTGATGGTAGTTTACTCCATCATACATAATAGTTTGGACAATCCAGCTGAGAATGTATTTGATCGCCTCGTTTGTTTTAGCTTCTTTAAGAAGAGAGCCAAAGATTGACTTCACTTTCGTCAAAAGAATATGAAGTTACACATAAATAAGAATGCCCTAGCTCTTCAAGAGTGTTTAGAACTTGTTCCTCAGCAGTGTGAGGATTCAGATCCCAATTGAGACTCTGGAGACTAATAGAACTCAGAGAATTATGCTCAAATTATAGTAAGCTAAGTTTCCACTTGGGCTTTCCTGAGGAAAAATTTTCTAATGGCAAGAACTGTGTAAGATTTGGGTGGATTCTCTGGGTTTCAGAGAGTTGAATATTTGTAAAATCAAAATTAGACAAGATCTTAGTAGTTATCTCTCTGGTACTCTTTTTATCATAACAGGAAGAGGGTCAGAAGCTGGCAGCTGGAACACTGCACCTAAGAATCTTAGGCTTCTGACTCAGAAGGTAGAGCATTTTCTTTAAAAACAAGCTAATATGTTCAAACAGAAACTGGATGGCTGGAATGTGACAGCGATGATTTCATGTTTAGATGAGAGAAAAAAGGTCAAGTATTATTTTCAATTTCAACAGTTTATGATTTTATGGCTAGCTACATGGATTGAAAAGTATAATCCTGCTAAGTAGTAATATGCTGTATACTCTTAAATTCCTTCCCCATCCTGAATACATGGCAGACAGAAACCATCATCTGTGGTAAAGAAAAATTATTCAGCTCACATTAAATAAAAATCATTTCACTAGAATACCACATGTGTAATACCATATATATGTGTGTGAATGTGTAACTACACAAACTTGTGAATATAGATGCAAAACACAGTGTTACATAATTTTATTAAATAATGCAATGAATTATTGTAAAAATATCAGTGCTATTCCTCCCTTTTAGGAAGTATTTTTTAATATTTTATTTGTTTGTTTGCTGTATAGTATAGGACCTTCCAAAGAATGTTTAATTCAATTGGAAACTGATTTATGAGATACAAAGTGGACTTTTATAAAAATAGATCTGAGATATAATACTTTACAGTGGACCACAGAATTCACTGATTTAATACTTCAGGTTTGAACACTTCAAAATAGACTATGGGGGCCGATGTCATTTTGTGATGTACAATCTTGCTGAGTCGTGAATGTAAAGGTCAGTATGCGTAAAGTCACTTCACCAGGCAAATGAGACTGCGCCACAAACACTCTGTCACGATTCAGATGAATTCAGCCAAGAATTTTCAAGTGTTTTTTTAAAATTTGAAATCATTTAAGTAGTATTTCTAATAAGTCTCTGAAAGATCAGTTAAACAATTCGGCACTGCTTTCTTCCATTTTATGTGAATAATTTTATGCCATATTTGCAATCATAAATTTGAGATTTCTTGAACATAGCCTTTGATATCATTTTTGTAATAAAAGAAGGAAGTATTAAAGAGTATAATATTGTTAGAGTTTTTGATATTTTATACAAAAATACATACCATATTTTTACTATACGTTTATTTAAAAGTTATTATATGACTCTATTTGTATATAAGTTGTGCATGGATGGAAAAATATTATTTGTACTTCCAGCACTTAGTAGAATCTAACTCATCCCCACACTAGAATAGTTTTTTTTCATTTTGGGCACTGGGGATCAAACTTGGGTCCTTGATCTTGTGCAGCAGGTGGCGAAACTACTGAGCTAAATCCCCAGCCCCACTAGAATAGTTATTAAACTTAATACAACAGGTGGTCAATTTCTAATATATTTTCCACATGTTCTATCCACTGGGTTTCATCTACTGTTAGTGAACACAAAATTCTCTCCCATTTTAAGTTGTCTCAGGATATTATATTCTGCATATTTTAATTTTTTTAATTTTCCCAACCCTGGTCAGATTTAGCTATATTTTAAAGAGGAAGTCACCCAACTCTGATAAGATTCACTGATCAACCAGAGAGAAAGCTCAGATTCATAGATTCTGTGTCCTGAAATGGCTGATCTCAGCTTTGTACATTATTCTTTGTTCTTTTTTCTAAGGCTGTCACTATTGCCAATATCTTCATTAATAGTCTCATTTATCCTGCCATATTGGCTAAGAGGCCCACTCTCTTTACCCTAATCCCCTTCCTTCCTTCCGCTTCCTTATACAAAGTCTAGAGAAAGTGTGGCCTACATTAAGTTCAATAAAGTAAAGGCAAGATTCTATCCCTGTCCATGTTTCCACTGCTGAAATAAGACCTAGACAAAGTGCATGTGATAGCTTAGAACCTATTCAAAACAGTTTAAAACAGGATTTCTATAGTGACTGAAGAAATTTACTTGTAAGTGGCAAATATAGAAGCTATATTAGTTCACTCTATGGTTTTATCATTTTGGAGAGGAAATAATTGTCATTTACTATTTATATGACATGATTTGTTAAAGTTAATAACATTGTAATGCATTTATTTGTGCTCGTTTCTTCTATTGTTGCTTTCTTTCGTTACCAATCAGAGAGAGAAGGATCAAATTATTTTGAATTTTCTTCCTTATGTTTAATATCAGATGAAGCTGAGCCTGTGTGAGCTATGCTCTAGCTGTTATTTAACTGGGAATCTGAAGGATGTTATACCTAGTCATGTCCCCAGTTGATTTCTTTTTTTATTATTTTAAATAATTACTATATAGGACTCAAAGTGTTTAATGTAATTGAAATGTCTAAACCAAATTTTACTAGACCTTTTAAACATGGTAGTTTATACAGATTCACAGATAAGAGTTTAATAATATGTATTATCTACTTCAAAGTTGGAACACTTGCATAAACAATAGCTCAAAAGCTATCAGCCAAACTGAAAGTGTACTGGTATAAAAAGTGCTGAATGCTTCCATTATGCATTATTTTAGCCAAGGTAATGAATATTGTATGATCCGTTAATGTGGAGGTAGTTTTGTACTATTTTGGAGCCTATTACTCTTAGAGAAACCTTAAGTAATGTAGTGGAGCTAAGCTTAAATGCCATTTTGCTGTTTAGGTAATTATCCTCCCTCCCCCCTTTTTTTGTTTGTACTTCAGATTACATAAAATATTGCAAAGGCAAGAAGACAATTTTAAAAATACAATACAAGCAATGTTACATTTAAAATGACTCTTTCCTGGGAGAAGCACAAAGCGTTTCCATGAATGATTTCTAATTATAGTATAGGTCCCTCATGGCCCAACATTCGATTCCTGGAAAAGGCACCATAAATAAGCAGTTATGATCACTTATTACATGAAGAAATATGGGAATCATAAGATAAGGTGAATTGCTTACAATATATACATATACATACATGTACATACATACAAAACACACATTTAGAAATATATATATATACATATATATATAAAAAGAGAGATTATATAATATACTTATTTGTACAAACAAGGAATCAAAATAGGATTCTCCCTATCCACAAATTTGAGATCCACAAGTCAAACCAACCACACAATGAAAATATTTTTAATGAATTTTGAGTAGTTACATTGTTCTGCCAATATTCCCTATACGATACAATATAATGATTATATAGTAGCTATGTTACCTATTTTAAGTAATGTAGAGATGATTTAAAGTATACAGAAATGTGTACATAGGTTATATTTCAAATTACATTTAAATTTTATCCTATTTACACAGGACTTGAGCATTTTGGTATTCATGGGAAGTTCCTGGAATCAATTACCTGGGGATATCAAAGGATGACTGGATATAAGAAAAAGGAGACATGAATTAGACATTGAGTGTCTCTTATGTGCCTGAACTTGAAGAAAATATTTAATAAAGAATACCTCATATTGCCATTCACCTATGCAGAATCTTTTTCAAACACTGCACTCTTACAAAACTTTAAACCATTGTTCCAAATTAGTTCAACCATGAATACTACTTCACAAGATACTGTATCTAGTCAATTCCTTCCTCTACTAACCAGGCAACAGAACTAAAGCACCACTTGCCTTGAGTTATTCTCATGACTCACCAGGGAGCCTGACATTCTGAGGTTCACTAGTTAGTGAAGAAGTCCATGGCACATGTTGCAGATATTTAGGAGACTTCTCCTTTTCTCTCTTCTTACCACTCCATGACAGCCTCATTTACACTGTCTCTTTTTGTCACAGCCACATCAATCAACATTTGTTCAAATGATGTTTGTATCAATTTATTTATGTAAGTTATTCCTTTTAGCATCTAGCTACAATACCAATGTTTGTTTAGGAGTTTCATCTTCGAGCATAATGGACTAGCATATATGCAAGTCACCATCTTTCAAAAGCAGGTACTTCATCATCTTGCTACACATGGTTCAACACTTTTCTGATCATGTAGGCCAACAGTTGTGACCATTCTTTTTTTATTATTTGATTTGTTATATTTTCTAGTTTGCTTATTCTCTTTCCTCAGTATTTATTCTTTATAGAGGCACAGATAAATATATATATATATTTTACAGACAGATGTAAATTTAATTTTTAAAATTTGTTTTTATGTTATTAGTACATATTAGCAGTTCATGCAGTTTTCAATCATCTTGAGGAGTGGTTACATGTACAGACCACAGCTTGTTTCTTTTTCTTTTGTAATCCTCTTCCCTTCTCCAATTCTCTCATTCCATTTTTCATTCTTGTTGATATGACTAATCTTAGTTTATGCTATGGAATATAATGTTTACATTAATTGAAATTATTAGGTTCCTATTCATGGCATATCTTTATTCTACTTGTTTCCTTTTCCCTTCCTCTTCGTGTCCCATACTTTTTCTCTTGAAAGAGATCTTATTGCAAGAGATCCCTATTGCAAGAGATCCATGTTCTTGTTCCCTTGTATCCATCCTTTATTATTCTCTTTATTTGTACTTTGCCTCACTCAAATGAGAGATACCATAATAAATGTAATTTTATTTAAAAAATGCTTTTTATGCTCAGCAATACCACTTATTTTAAAATAAAGAAAATATGCATATATCTTATTAGTTATTTTTTTACAACTATATTTTATATTAACCTGATCAGTATTGGATTTTTAACAATTGAATCATGCTGTAAATAATTTATTTAATTTCTTTTTGGGCAAAATCAAACTTTTGATATTTAATTTGTCACCATTCAATCTCTACTATGTTTGCAAATCTAATTTAGACTGTTTTTCCTCTGATCTCTGTAAAATACTCAACATGTTTATTCTCCTCAAGGGAGTATTACAGTAATTCTACAAGCAGGTTAATTTTATTTGGTGATAGTTTTTTTTTTTTTTTTTTAAGTCACGGACTTCTCTTTCTCTAGTATTGGACTTTCTTTTTCCTCATGATATTTGATAATTCATCTTCATCTTCTTTTTGATCTCAGTGATTTCTCTCTCCACCATCCTTGCTATATATGTCACTCTAAGCCACATGTTTCAATGACAGTATCCCCCAAAGATCTAGAAACTTTTAATTTTTTGATTAGATTTTACTTAACTAGACCATAAAGGAATCTTTATGGTTCATTAGTAATCCTTCTCCCTTTCTCCTGATTCTTATCTCATTATAGCTTTGGAGAAAATAATACGCTAATGAGGATTGTAATTAGATAAGGAAGTATGGGTAGAGTGTGCTGTTACTAAGTAATGCACACGTATTATTTGTTTTGAGATAGTGGCTTCAGCAGCCCAGAGTGATTCCCAGATTTAAAAGCCTTGAGAAATCTGCTAGCTACTGCTATATTAGTAGGGACTAACTCCCTGAAAAAAACATTTCCAACTATTTCTATTGCAGAGTAGCACATTGAATATGAACAAATTTGAAACCTATAAGTTGATTCCTCCAATATCTTATTTTTGTTGTCCTTGTTATTATTTTATCATATGCCACTTCAGTGTTGAATTTTAATTATTTTAAAGGAACTATGTGTGCAGATATTTAATACTTCTGTTTTGAATATCCTTATAAAGCTAAAGTGCAAAAAATTGACTACAGGCATATCAAGATGAAGCATATCAGACAATTGGAAAGTGCACATCCCAAAGATCATATAGACAATGTTTTATACTATCTATAAACATTTACAATACTTTTTGTAATTGTAAGGGCCAATATATGAAAGACCCAAGCACAATTGAGCTATAACATTCAAATTACAATGTCATCATTACATTTTGTTAGTATTTCACTCACTCTAAACAACCTTCACACATTTTAACAGTCTCAGTTTGCTCTTTTCAGATGAAGCAAATCCAGGAAATTCAGAAAGCCTCAATTTGCTTAGTATGATTACAAACATCTGTCACTGGCAAGAGACACTTACTAATGGCTCCAAGTCATCTCTCTGCAGCACTGTTGCCCCATGGAAAATTCAGGTGACAATCATTTTAAAACATTTTTAAAGTCTTGGCTT